GGGGGGGGAGGGGGAAGGTGACGACGGCCTTACCTCCCGGACCTTCGGCGGCCGCAGCGTACGCCAGGGAGGGTCAGGAGAGGGACTGCTGTGTCAAGGCGAGTCCATTAAAAGCTGGGAAGGAATGGGTCGAAGATGAAGATGAGTGGGTGGTCGGAAGAGGGTAGTCGGAAGAGGGAAGGCTCGGGGCAAGCGCCGGGGACCGGTTACTCGTCCTCACCGGGGGCCTAAGTTGTTCTCGTTGAAGGGGGAAGCATGGCAAAATAGTCAGCGGCTTTGGGTGATAGTGGAAGGGATGGGAAGGAGTTGGGAATACCAGCGAGTGGCGAGGAGAAGTCAGCAAGAAGGGTTTCGTGAAGAGGGGTGCGCGACAGCAGCGAGCACCGTGCACTTTGTCAAGGCCCCGTGTAGTGCAGCCCTGGAAATGGGATGAAAACACAGTGATGTCACCATGGTTTGCTGAAAACATAGTTCACGTGATTAGGCGGTTGTCGTCTTCATTTTGCATGCACATCGCCTTCAACCTGCCGACACACCCGCATAGCGATATCTAATCTAGGTACCATAGCCGAAGCTAATCATGCGAGAGTAATATTGCTGCTTGCAGACGATCTCCTAGCCTCTTGCAGCTCTGGTGGCAGCATACTGGATGCATTCTAATAGTAGGGGGAATCTATCCGGCTAAGTAGTACAAGAGTCCGTGGTATGAATTAGTTGCGCGAGACATCACGACCGAAGAGCTTGACCTTGAGCCAGTCAGCCATAACGAGGGAGCGGTTGCGGAGGGAGTAGAGGGTGGAGATGTAAGCGGAGCGCCAGAAGAGCATGGCGGCGCCGCCTCCGGAGGCGAGGTTGCCGTTGAAGAGGGGCAGGTCGGCGATGGCCTTCTCGCTTCCAATGTACGCGAGCGAGCCCTGGTGCGAGTAGTGGAAGGGGGTGATCTTGGAGACGCGGTTGAGCTTCTTGACGACGTTCTCAATCTCCTCGGCCGAGGCGGTGCCCGACTCGCGCAGCTTCTTGAGCTGGCGCTCGTACTTGGCCTTCTGGCCGATCTTGCCAAAGGTCGTGGCGAGGTACTTGCCCTCCTGGGACGCGACCTGCGGTGGGGGCGTACGAGGTGGCGGTGCAGTCGCCAATGGCGTAGACGCCGGGGGCGCCGAGCATCTCGAGGTAGTCGTCGACGACGATACCGCGGCGCTGGGTCTGGACAGCGGGGAGCTTGGCCATCAGGTTGCGGGTGATGGGGCGCGAGGTGTTTCCGGTGGCCCAGACGAGGAGGCCGTAGGGGATCTCGCGCGTCTCCTTGTTGGCGTCCTGGACGATGACGCTGTCCTCCTTGACATCCTTGACCATGGTGCGGGTGAGGACGTCAATCTTGTTCTCCTTGAAGGTCGACTCGGTGTACTGGATGAGCTGCTTGGAGAAGGCGGGGAGCACGTTGGGGAGCGCCTCGATGAGGGTGATGCGCAGCTTGTCGGCGACCTCGGGGTACCACTTCTTGAGGTCCTCGATCAGGAAGTCGTGCAGCTCACCGGCGTACTCGACACCAGTGGGGCCACCACCGACAACGATCATGTGCATGAGGCGGTCGACCTCGGCCTCGCTCTGGCCAGGGAAGTGGGCAGTCTCGATGCACTCCATGAGCTTCTCACGGATCTTCTCGGCGTCCGGGAGCTCCTTGAGGAAGCAGGCGTAGTCCGTGACACCCTTCATGCCGAACGTCTGGTTCTCGCAGCCGACGGCGTAGACAAGGTAGTCGTAGTTGATCGTGACCTTGTCAGTGGGGCCGTTCAGGCCAGACAGGTCCTGAAAGGTGACAGTCTTGGCGAAGGGGTCGACATCCTCAGCGTTCGCCTCGTAGACCTGGACGGCACGCTTCTTGTGACGGGTGATGAAGCGGGTAGGCTGGATGATCGAGCGGGGCTCGAGCGTTCCAACAGTGACGGACGGGAGGAGGGGAGTGAAGAGGAAGTAGTTGCGGGGAGAGATGACAACAACGTTGAACTCGTCCGTGTCAAGCTGCTTGAGGAACGACGTAGCGCCCCATCCAGAGCCGAGAATCACGAGAGTAGGCTTCGAGGGGTCCTGGGGCTTCTGGTCTCCGGGGTGGTTGTCGGCGTTGATCTCTGCCGGGTGTTAGCTCGAGGTCCGCGGCTATGATATCATTATTTGGGGGGTGACGCACGGGTGGTCACGTACCCGGTTACTCACCGTAGAGGAAGAAGGCAGTGGCTCCAATGAAGACAACAGCGGTAAGCTTGACAACGTTGCCGAGGATCCTGCGGAAGCGGCCCTTGTGCTTGGGCTGCTCGTGCTGCTGCTGCGGCTGCTGAGAGTACTGGGGCTGCTGCTGGCCGTCCGTGGCGTAGGCACGAATGCTGCGGAGCGCCGAGGGGCTACCAGCAACAGGAGCGGCGAGGCGGGCGACGGCGGCGCGGGGCGCAAGGGCCGAACGCGCTGAACGCGCTGCAATCTGGGTGCGAGCTGAACATTGCATTTGCGGGCGTGGTAACGAAAAATTGTATCCACCCATCGCATCGCGTCAGCGTGTTATCGCGCCCTCGCAGATGACCGATCAGACGAGACAATCCACAACGCTAGCGGACTGTCTGGCCCGCTCAGTCAGAGCTGTAAAACTCACCAATCTGGCGGAAAGCCATTTTGGGCAGAAGTTGTGGGGGAGAGTGGTGACCTGAGATGTATCAGCAACCAGTCGTTCCCAAGAGGTCAATAATATCTGCGCGTTCGGCGGTGACGCAGTGGGCGCCGGTGAGAAATTGACAATGTCGGTCCACGTGGCCGGGATCTTCGTCGACCCAGGCCCGAGTGCGGGTGGCATGATGCGATTTGCTGACGCTCCGGCGAACGTCGGCTTGGACCAGCCCTCGGAGTGCGAGAGATGCAAGCAGAGGTAGTAACGGACGGACTCACGAGAAAAGGGTGCACCGGGAGCGAGAGAAAAGAGTAAGAGGAGATGTTTAAGTAAGAGTGGGGACGCGCTGACTGCGTTGGTCGAACTTGGTCGAAGCCGGCAAGGTGGGGAAGGGTCTGAAGCGGGTGCATAGTTTTGAGTCGTGAGATAAAGGCGGCATGACGCGCCGGACCAGAGAACTCCAGAAAGTCAAATCAGGATAGCCATAGCCGCAGAGGTACCAGCGGTCAAGCGCCCAAGCATGCCAGGACTTGACAGGACCCCTCGCCGTTCCCGGCGGCTCCCTTTGACCTCTGTCATGCATCGATGATAATTTTGGCGAGGTTGAAGCGGCATTGGCAGATACAGTCGAGCACGACCCTGGTTGCCCCAGCCGCTCGGCCAATCGCGTCCCCTGTCCGGAGCGGCTTTGGCTCCCATGAGTGACAAACTCCGCATCTGCTTGGTGCTCTTACCGCCTCTGCCGCCGGTTCCATGGACACAAGCTCGTTCAACCCCCATCGCGTCGGAATTCCCCACTTTACGAATCACATCGCGACTCGCCCGCAACCTTAACGAGAACCCATTCCAATTCACTTTCTCCTGCGATCCTGCTGTTATGCATGCCGAGCCCCCCGATTGCGTGCACGAAACTCCAAGCGATCGCCCTCCAGGAGGGTCAGGTGACCTCCGCGCACGCATGTTCCTCACAAGTAACCGAGTCTCAAAGTGCGACTTCTTCCGACCTCTCGACACCGGATAGTGGGCACTTTCCGAGAACGGCCAGGGATGGACTTGGCAGTCACGTGATCTTATCAGCCAAGAATGACCTGTAAACCCAGTCAACTTGAAGCTGTGTCACCCGCACGTGGTTGTAACACGGGTGGCGCTCGGCGGTAGCCGATCCGTCCACAGACATTGACCGATCGCTGACAGCGGACTGGACAGACATCGCGCGCGTTACTTTGCTCATCTTCACCATCACTCATCGCACCACTTCCACTCCTGGAGTAGTCGCCACCATGTCTCTCTGGAACAACACGGTGGGAGCTTGCTTCCCCGCCGCTCCTCAAGGCGATCCTACTCTCCCTGTCACCGCCTACGAGGGCGAGCGTCGTGTTTCCAATGGACATCGCGACAAGCGCCCGTTCACCTTCCGCCGCCTCATCAAGTCGTACTGGTCCGACTGGGCTCTCATCGGCCTTCTCTGGTGAGTTTAGGGGGCTTCAGGCGTCCGCATGCCTTATCAGTTGTTGCAAAACGACGCCTGCCAATGCCGGCTTACGTCGTCCCGGTCGTCATGAACCGTCTACTGTTTACACCAGTGGCAACGACGACTGCGCTTTAGAGGAAGGCCCTACGACAAGGGAAGGTCACGCAGCTAACATAACAGGATCCTCTTGTTAGCCATCTCGCGCGCGCCCGGATACAAGCGCGAGTTCTCGCTCAAGGACATCTCCATCCAGCACACCTTCGCCGAGCATGAGCGTGTACCTTTAAAGTAAGTTATGGCAAGCTGCGGCAACTAACGGGCAGTTCACTCATCGTCATCTCGCTCTTCGTTCCCTTGGGGGCTCTTCTGATTCTCTCGCTCATCGTCGCCCGCAATGCGTGGGACATCCACAACTCGCTCGTCGGCTGCACTATCTCGTGGCTCATGGCTGGTGTCGTCACCAACATCATCAAGATGGCTGTTGGCCGTCCCCGCCCCGATCTGATCGACCGATGCCAGCCCAAGGCCGGCGCGCATGACCGTCCCGTGTACGGCCTCTCCAACTTCACGATCTGCACGCAGACCGACTGGCACAGGCTTAACGACGGTTTCAAGGTATGTCGAGTGCTGCGCCGCAGCCAGCTCACCACAGTCCTTCCCCAGCGGCCACAGCTCGCTCTCGTTTGCCGGTCTCGGCTTCCTCTCCTTCTACCTCGCGGGCAAGATGCACATTTGGCACCCGCACGGCCACCGCAATCGCGCGTGGGTCGCCCTCTCGCCCCTCCTTGGCGCCATCATGGTGGCTATCAGCCGCACTGAAGACAACCGCCGTGAGTTTCGCGTCTCCTGCGGTAACTGACAACAGACCACTGGCAGGACGTTCTTGTCGGATCCCTCCTCGGCTACCTCGTGGCCTTCATCACGTACCGCGCGTACTACCGTGAGTTATTTGCAGATCTCGCAAACTGACAAACAGCCCAGCTCGCACACCCCGTGTGCCACCTCCCGCTCCTGCCCAGCTCGAGCGAGGACGACGCCGACGACGACTACGGCACGGATCTCTCGAACGGCGTCCGCCTCCTCAACGACGAGGGCGTCCCCCGCCAGAGCGAGGACACTGCCGGCTGGCAGAACCACTCGTAGTCCCTGTCGTCGCCCTTGTCTTGTACGAAGTACCTAACGCAGTACCAGCCGAGCTCGATACCAAACAGGAAAGATACGCATAGAGTCGCCAGCGGTTTCGTTTCCCGAATTAAACTGTGAATAATAACAAGTATCCTTAACGCTATACGTCAACGATGTCATGCACTCATTAGCTCTTCAGCACAGAGCGGTGAGCGGTGGAGACAGTGTGGAGGCAGAGTGGAATGGAGGCGCACTATCTTATCTCGCACTGAGATCCGAGTGAGACCGGGCGTTCGCAGTTTGGTCCAGAGTTCGAGGTCATGTGCAAGCTGGGCAAGTGTGCGTCAGTGCCTCATGTGCAACTGGTCTGGACATGTGTATCATGTGTTCAGCGTGGTACGGGCAAGCCCCCCCGGTCATGTGTGCGTGCGGGGCTCAGTGTGCATGTGCGCGTTGAGGTGCCGGTGTGCCCGTTCCCCACATCTTTGAGCCGTGTGTGCATGACATTGCAGAACGCACGTTCATTCTCTGCTATATGCTTTCTGAGTGCAAGCTGTGTCAGAGTGTCAGAGTGCCAGAGTGCTCGTGCAGTCGCACTTGGAGCTCGTGCTCGTGATCTTGCTGGACAACTCTGGCTACGCGAGACAGGTGGGAAGAAGTTGACCAGTGGCATCGAGTGGCAGAGCCAAGTACTTCATCAGTAACATGTCCTCGACCTTCGACTCAAGATGCAAGCAAATGGGTGCGTGTACTTCTGCTTTTTTTGCATGTCAATCATCCATGGGTATAAAGTACAACAATCTTCCCGTTTCTCTGCGTAGACAACGATAGTTTGGAAAGCTACTACTTGCTACTACTTCTTTACTTCTTCTTGTGCTCTTCCTTCCTTGCTCCTATCTTATAACCTTATCTCGAGAACCTGTCAACAAACCCTCAGAAACCCTGAGAAACCCTCGAAGACCTTTCTCAACAAAACCCATTGGAACCCTTGTACGATAACCCAGTCGAAACCCAGTCGAAACCCTTGTACGAAACCCAGAAGAAATAAAGCGGAAAACACACGAAACCCGGACAGTTGATAGTTGAAATGATAGATTGTGACTCTTGTCGTGGTGTGCGAGGGCGGGGCGAGGACGACCGTAGTGATTTTTCTCGCGAGCCGGGGAGACACCTGGCGTCTAGTTCGGCGTGGCGCGACGTTGATCAGAGCAAGGGAGGCTCGCGGCCTTCCTATCTCTCGGCCTCAAGAGCTGGCGACCTCGCTTCGCTCGGTCTTCGCTCGGTCGCCTAAACGACAATGTTGGGCTTGCGGTCAATGTCGATGTTCTCGATCGTCTCGACCTCCCACTTGCCTCCCGCGCCCGTCTTGACGTGGAGGTTGGACACCTTTGGCGTGACGGCCGCGACGTCGTCGTCCTGCTCCTCGATCTCGTCCTGCTCCTCCTCCGGGTCCTGCTCCATGATCTCGTCGACCTCGGCTGCCGAGTTGCCTGACGTGCCCCTCGTCAGAACGGGAGTCGGGGCGCCGTTGGCGGCGGAGAGCTTCTTGAGCTCATCCTGGAGGTAGTTGATGTGCAGCACGGCTTTGCGGAGGATGATGGCCTTGGAGTCTGTGGGAATCGCGGAGGGGAGCGCGTTGCGCAGGCTCTTGAAGCCCGTGTTGATGCTCTCGCGCCGCTTCTGCTCGCTCATGAGGTGAGCCAGGCGGCGGCTCTTGGCCCCTCCACCCGGGCCGGGCTGAGGCGCCGCAGCAACAGGAGGAGAGTAGTACCGCTGCTGGTCCCAGTCGCGGTGGCTCGCGCTGTGCGAGCGTGCCCGGCCACCCATCGGCGCGCCGGGCTGGGCGTACTCGTGCGCGTAGAGGGAGTTGATGCTCCGCAGGGGCGGGGAGACCTCGGCAGCCTGGGGCGGCGAGGAGCGGTAGCACCCCCGCTGGAGCGGGGGCGTTGCGCGGCGAAGACGCCTCGTAGCTGTAAGAGGGGCGGAGACCCTTGGGGCTGCCGCCTGGCGGGGAGGGGTGCGCCGGCGGGCCCATGGAGGGGTTCATGGCCGAGGTCGGCGAGGTCGCAATGCTGGCAAAGCTGGGCAGAGAGTAGCGGTCGCTGTACCTGTCGCTCTGGGCGCGGGGGAGGGCGGGGCGGCCGGCGGCCTGCTGCTGCTGCTGCTGGCGGTACTCCCGGAGTTCGCGGAGCTCGCGCTCGCGGAGCAGTTCCCGCTCACGGAGCAGCTCGCGCTCACGAAGCAGCTCACGCTCACGGAACTCACGCTCGCGCAGGAGGAGCTCGCGCTCGTCCAGGTCGCGCAGGTGGTCCCTTCCGTCCCTAGAGTGGACGGCGTCGCGGGGGTCCCTCTCGCGCGGGTCACGCGGGTCGCGCTCGCGCTCCCTCATCAGCTCCCTCTCCCGCATCTCGCGCTCGCGCAGCTCCCTCTCGCGGAGTTCGCGCTCACGCTCCCGCTCGTGAAGGACGTGCAGCGGCGTGCCGCTGTTGGGGGGCGGGAGGAAGCGCTCCCGCCCCTGCTCACCGCGCTCGTCCTGCGACGGCCGGCGGGGGTAAGGCGCCACCTGGGCTCGGTACGAGGACAGAGACGACTGGGACGGTGAGCGGGACGAGCTGCCGGGCGAAGGCAGGGGGCGCGAACGAGGCGACGTGCCGCCGCCACCGGAGTAGTGCACACTCGGGATCGGGATCGAGGTGGACATGGCGTGCTCGGATCGGGGCGAGGTCGAGTGTGTCGGCGACAAGGTCATAACAAGTGTGGACGGAGGCGAGACGACGTCTGGCTCTCGGCGGGGGATCCGTCGATGGGGGCTGGTTTGAGGTGGGCTCTGAGGGTGTGAGAGTACAGGCGGGTACAAGTCAGAGACAGATGAGGGATGAGATGGAAGGGGGGAGGGCAGTTGACGTCTGGCGGGAGAAGCTCGGCTGGCTGAGACGAGAGGTGAGAGAGTCGAGGCTAGAGTGGGGGAGGGGAGAGGCCAAAGGGGATAGGCGGATAGGCGAGAGCAGGTGCTTGGGTGAGGAGGGCGGGCTGCTGGGCGTCGAGCAGGTGGCTTGGCGTGGTCTGCTGCTCGGTTTCTCGGTTGCTGACAGGTGGTGCCGGTTGATGTGCAACACTTGAAGTAGAGTGGTGCAGACGAGTGGAAAGTAGTCTAGTGGTCAGAGGAGGGGAGAGGGGGTGTGGGTAAAGGGCGCAGGCCCGGACTTATAGGTCTAGCCGTTGGTGTGTTCCGGGATACGAGCTATTTCAATACCGGCGGTATGGACAAGAGGGAGGGGGGAAGCCAAGGGGCTCAGCTGAGAGACGGGCAGGGGGAAGATCGGGGGAGGGGGGAGAAGGGACAAGACGGGCAGACGCAGGCTAGGCAGGAAGCGAGAGAGACGCAGATGCAGCTCTTGGGAGGATCGCAGAGTGTCGCAGACGCAGAGCCGTTGAGCGAGCAACGTCTTGTGTCTCTAAGACTCGCCCACCCACTCACTCACTCACCCACCCACCAACCAAGCGGGCGGTTGCGATTTTAGACTTGGGACTTGGCCACCGGAGGCTAGGCTGGGACCTGGGCAGGGCAGGGAAGGATGGAAACCGGGCAGGCGCACGAGGCTAAAGGGCGGGGCCAAGACGAAAGAAAGAGAATGTGACCCGTGCCTATATTCTGTGGGGCAGCGGGGGGGGGCAGCAGGACACAGGGTCCAAGCAGGCCAGCAGGGGCAGGCATCCAGCCGGGGCAGCGCGACCGCGGCCTGGGGCCACAGTGCGTACAAACGACTGAAGCAGACGCGGGCCCAGCTCCCAACCGCAGGTCCGGCAGCAGGCTTGGCTTGGCCACCCACCGGAGCAGAGGATGGCCGTAGGGCAGGGAAATCCGGAGACACCGACACCCAGCCAGACTCCAAGGGCCCAGCTGGCCCAGGGGCGCGCCAAAGGGCAGCAGGGTCAGCAGGGCTTCAGGACAGTCAGGAGCTCCAGGAGCGGTCAGGAGGGCACAGGAGGGCGCACGACGGGCGCAGGAGGACGGCCAGAGGACCCAGACGGCCAGACGGGTGACCCTGCATGGTTGATCCCGACTATGCTCCCCTCGCTGCCCGATTGGGCGATTTCGGGTCTGCGCGACTGTTCAGATGAACACGGCGACCGGGGGGATGTGTCGCTCAGCGTGCTCAGCTGACCGCAGTCCATCATCCCACCCAGGTTCATCCATGGCCCGGCTCGTCTCCGTCCCTCCCCCTTTGCATCTGCGTCTCAGATTCAGCCAAGAACTCTCTCCTCGCAGTAACAGATCAGTCACATAGTCGGCAAACCCGGGCGGCTCCCTCGTCGCTTCGCTCGGGTCTTGCATCATTGCTACGGTGATGTGACGCTGGTATCGCAGCTGTGTTGTCTTGGCACAGAGAGATACCCAAACGTCAGGCCTGACAGGCGTGACATGTAGCGCGAAGTCGATCCATTCATCAGCCGACGCTGACGCGCGTCGCTCGTGACATGGTGGCAAACTCTTGTACGATACAGAGGCATGACACCATGCCAGAAGACAGGGCGATGCAGTCGTTGCATCGGTACGTTTGTTTACGATATGCGACAGAGCTGGTCTGGGCAGTGCAGATCTTGAGCCTCGAGGCGGTGAGAACCACCGCTCCAGTCTGCGGGTGGGTTATGCATCGATCTCGGACTGCCCCGATCCGCTCGCTACGTCTGCTGCCCGCCTCTCAGTCTGCATGCCGCCGCCAACCTGAGCGGGGGCGGGGTCTTGGGATCTACTTTCCCCTGTTGTGCACTCGATTCGACGACTCGACGTTCCCCTCTGCTCTTGAGATTTGCATCCTGTGCATCTGATATCGAAACCCCAGATCCGGTTGGCCGGCTCGCGGTTCGGTTGGTGCGTTGTGCGTCGTACGCGCGCGCCCGAGTTCAGCCTGGTTAATGCCCCTATGGCCCTTGTTGCCCGTGTCAGAATGCTTGGCATGGCAGCCTGTCGTGCTTGAATGACCGGGGGCGTTGCGCCTTTGTGCGAGGCCCGCAGCTGTCGACCAACGGGGGACAAAGTTGGGGGTGGGTCTGGCGCCTGCCGCACAGAAGCGGGCAAAGCCGCCGCGCTCGTGACGCAGCCGACGCGCTTGCATTGGTCCGGTGGTTGCGGTGGAGGGGTGGTGGAGGCATGGAGGGGCAGCAAAGTCATGAGATTTCGGGCAGCTGTTGGCCAAGTTGGCGAGTTGGCCAGCTGGGATGCCGCAGCCGCCCACCGGGTCCACCAGACCACTTTTGTTCCAAGCCATGTCCAAGCCAACCAATACAGCCTTGAGGCGGCAGGAGGAATGAGACTGCTTAATGCTGCGAAAGTGAGAGTCCAGGCGCCCCAGCCTAGTAATGTGGCTGCCGTGCCCATGGCGAGCGGGGGCCGGAGCCTGAGCCTCAATGCAGCCAGAGTGAGACCCTGCGAAACGTTTTGGGCACGGGGGCTGAGGCGTGTTGACCTTCGAGCGGGCGTGCCATTGTCCGCATTCCTGCCATGGTGCTTGCTGACGAGATCATCATCTCGCCCGTTTGCTCGGACGCTCGGTATCTTGTGCAAGCCGGCGCACAGAGTCCTGGCCTGGTGACTAGGGTAAACGGCCGCCAAGGGGCAGCCGGGGGAGATATAGATGCGCCGCGAATGGACCGAGGGTACAAAGGGATCGGAAGAGAGGAGCCTCTAGCTTGCAGCACTAGCCGTGCAAGAGACGCAGAGGTCTGTGTGGCCAAATCTCGCCTTCGTTTCCCCAGGTGGGTGCGATGGCGACTTGTGATTGTCTGCCCCAGCGGCATCTCAGCACCCGTGCCAGGACTCCCGGTATGCGCTCAGGCATCAGAGGAGAGTAAGCGAAGTTGCAGATCCCATAGATTACGCTCGGCCGTCATTACCTCCCCTTTGTCCCTTTGCCCTCCCTTCCTACGGGCACCTGCATCGCAGCTGTTATGGAAGAATTAACCGAACGAACGAATCGACATCGAGGCAATATCACGGCAAATGCAACCCACCAGGCAACAAACATGCAAACGAACACAGCTGCATTGCTAAGCATAGCCGACATGGCCGACTGGCGCCACATGCAGATGGACCTCTGCCAATGAGGACGGGATCCAGAAGCCATGGACAGGGGATTCGAAAGTAATGAAGGGGGGCGAGGGGGACTAGGGCGATCGCGCAACTGGGCCGCTCAAGCTCGCTCACATGGGTCTCTCAGCCGACCTTGAACCGCGCTCTAGCCGTGCTCGGATTGGGGCATTATGAGGGTGCTGCGTCTCTAACCGCAACGCGCCATCGCAGGAGCCAACGTGCAGGGAGGGCAGGTCTTACGTATCGCGCACCCTTCGCCCGTTCAATTCGGTGGTCTCGCCACACCCTGCATCCACTGGGTCACTGCAATGGCCTGCATAAAGCCGGTCCTGTCCAGTGGTCGAGTTGGCTTACCGCTCATGCTGACCGGTTCATTCTGGCTTCCCTGACGCCGTTAGACACACCTCTGGGGCACCGAACACGGGACACCAACTGGCCCATTTTTGCAATCACGGGCACTTTCCGCCTCTCTCTCGAGCTCTTACAGCCGTGCCTATCGGATGCCCCGGTGAGAGGAGGACAAGAGGCACCCCCATCCGCGCCAGGAACGCCTCCCTCTTCCCATCAGTAGGCACGAGACCCAAGGCTAGCTGGACTTGCGGTCGCCGTCGGCGGAGAAACCCCGTCACATGCAAGTCTCAGCTGATTCTCTGTGCCCGAATAACGTACATACGTTATGAACGTTGTCAACTTTCTTGGTCAACACGGATCCGACGTCCCGACCGTGCACGGATTTGTCCAGCTGGCCCCTCCCTCATCCCACCCGTATCGGTTATGCACGGCTACGGACTGAGTTGAATGACCAACAGCCTGCCCCAGTGGACCAGTCGCAGTGTTCCGTTATTCCGGCATGAGAATGGATGCGAAGGCATGCGCAGCGGCACGGTCAAACGACATGCATGACCGTGTGACCGGGACTGTTATCAGCTGAGATCGGGTACGCAGGTACGTCTGGTCGGGCTCCATGGCCCACTCAGCGCTCAGCGTCTTGCTTGCGCAGCTGGCATGACGTCGCAATAGGCATGAGGCAAGGCTGAGGCACGGCAAAGTGCCCGTACCTGCGTGCAGTCAGGTGGTGATCCATCAGCGGATCCATTCTCAGGATTTGGGATCTGCCGCGAGCTTAAAGTCCAGCGCGCCAGCGAGACATGACTGAAAAGCGTCTTCCACATCTGGGCCATTTCGCGGGTCTGGGCCCACCGGATCAAGCCTTGAGTCATGTCTTCCCCCAGGTGCCAACGCCAGGCACGGCGCGTCCAACCCCCTTCCGTCCCTTCCGTGCCTTGCGTCCCGCGTCTGACTGGGTCTCACTACGCGGCTCTGGTCTTGTGCCCATCACGTGTTGTCGCATCATCCGGGTCCACGCCCCCAGCCGCTAGTCCTTAGCGTGCTTAGCTTGGTTTAGCGTGCGCGGGGCCGACTCTTGACTACCATTAGCCAGAAGCATTAGTGCATGGTTAATAGGCCGTCCATGAAGCCAGAAACCATGAAGCCGGCTCGAACGGCTCGAACGGCTCAGCAATTGGCTCTTCCGCAGTTGGCTTGTAGCAGCGACGCTAAATGCCAAGCAATTCAGACTTGTGGACGGTAGCGAGGAGAGCGCCGCGAGTAATGACCCGAGTCTCCAGT